AACAAGCAAACATTCATACACATACATAAGCATTAAAATCATCCATCTTGACATCAAAATCCACTGTATAAAACCACCTCGAACACCTACATCAATTCCAGTTGGCATGGTAAGGTTTCCTATTGCTGCCTTATTACACTGTCCCAAAAGCTTGGTCCCAAAGCCAAGTTTTTACCATCCTTCTGAAGGTTAGGAGGGAGGGGGCTGATCTAATCTCACCAGGAAGGGAGTTCCATAGCCAGGGGGCAAACACTGAGAAGGCCCTCTTTCTAGTCCCTGCCAATCGCGACTGTGATAATGGCAGGACAGAGAGCAGGGCCTCCCTGGAGGATCTTAATCTCCACAATGGTTCATAGAGAGAGATGCAGTGCCTGAATGGACATTGTGTAATTTGTTCTAGGCTTGGCTAACTACTTTCCTGCCCATCCCTTGCCCTTCCACACTGCAAGCAGCATTCAGACAGAAACAAATGTTGGCACAGAGCTCTTTCTCTCCCATTACTTCTTGTGCTACATTTCCTATTTTTTCTTCCCACCAAGGCACACATATAATCTCAGAACCATGTTTTCCTTTTTTTTCTCTCTGGCTAGATCATTCTTCTGGCAGCTCATCTCATGTAGACACACTCATCTCTCTCCTCTCTTTCAATATCCTGCCACCTTCCTGCTCCCCTTTTCTGTTTCTTTTCTGTTAGTTAATTTTTGCTTTTCTTAGTCTCACTCTGCTACCCAAGTTGCCATCCTCCTTTCTTAATGCTCTGGGCTGTAGGCACAATCCATTAGTTAGCTGTAAAATACTAGAGGTGAGGCATATGTTGCGTATCATGAGAGTTTCATCTGGAGAGACTCTATGCCTGCAAGCATAGCCTGCTGTGGTGGAATTTATCAGGGAACCGTAATTAGTCTTTAGAGAATAATTATTCAGGCAGCAGTTGGTGCTGCTGACCCATTCCATTATATTCTTTTTCTGCATCAGGACTCACATGTTTGTTTATGCCACAATCTAAGCAAATAGAGCCAGACACATCCAGAGGCTTGCAAAGGTTTGGAAGCCCAAACTTGCCTGGCTCATTGAGACAATGTGCAAAAGATTGTATAACACTTTTCTGAGAAATCCAAGGACACTCCAAGAACATCCAATGCTCTATACTTGGAATTTATTGTGTATATTTTATACATTTCTTACATATGCTAGCATGGTATTCCGGAAAGATACTGAGACATTAATTAAGAAATTCCTTAGCTGAATGAGCCACAAAACTCACTATAACAGCCAATATTTGCTAGACTTTATCAATCTCATCAATCTTTACAAAAGCAAACTGTACTTAAACAGAACCTTTGAAATTACTCTATCACTATATACAGCTGCCCAGCCAGGGTAACCATGTTTTTTTTGTTTTTTAGTAAATGAACCTCTGCTTGATGGCATCTTTTATTTGAAAAGCTGTCCAGAATAAGAAAAAAGAATAATAAGAATGGAGGGAATCTGAAGGGGAGATGAAGTTGTTCATTAAGAATTAGTATCTGAAAGTCAGCAGGTACATAGGTGAATATGACAATATTTTACAAAAACTGGAAATGGCTTGCCAGGAGCAAAGGCTTTGTGTTATAATAATGGATTGGATTCAAAACTCCATAGTTCTGATAACCAATAATTGGCTGGTTCTCTAACCATTGCAAGAGCCAGTGGTGCATATTTCTATTATTCAGCTGATGTTATACCAGGAGAAAGATGGTACTTTACTTTTGCTCTGCAATGGGCTGGAAACAGGTTCCCAGATGAGTCTGGGGATCACTTCTTGTATTTAAATTATATCAGTGCATCTACAGAAATAATAAACTAGTTAATGCACATCTATGTCTCCTTTGGTTTCTTTTTTATGTTGTGTAACATCTACCCTTTTGTAGAATTTTGAATATCACATTTTACAATGTCTTTAGCCTTCTCTGCCAGAGAGTGTTGGTGCCTCAGCAAACTACACCTTTCAGGATTCCATAGCATTGAGCTATGGCAGTTAAAGTGGCATCAAACTGCATTAATTCTACAGTCTTGATGCATGCCAAGTCTGGATCCATCTCTAGTAATGGATTGTGTCCAGGCATAGTATGTCAGGATCTACTGTGGGTTTAGCGATGTTCGGCTTTGAATTAATTCATCGATTATTTTTAGTTGAAGCAGATATTTAAATAAAGATGTTCCTCTAAAGGAAAGAACCCCTATCAGTACTCTTTCTTTAAACATGTCAACATTTAAGGAAATGAAAGACACACAGTATAATTTAATATGTAGTATTATATAACAACAACGATTTGTCCTAAAGAAGACACCTGATGTCTCATTTAGAATTTGAAGCAATCTTTTGTTGAGATATCAAATAGGCTTAATTCTATTCTTAGCTTTAATAATGTATACAATTTCGTTCCATCTCCTGGGTCAAGATAGTCAAAAGTAACAGCCACAGAAATAGTGCAGACATGGGAGGTGCAACTAGGTGAATTTCGATTCAACATATGTCTGCAGAAATGATAGTAACCACCTTTTCTCTGGCCGGTTATATCTGAGAATGCCAAACAAAGAATTCAAGAAGGCATATTATAGGGCATCTGTTTCATAGAACCATACTGCTTAAATAGCTACATAAGAAAAAACTTTCACTGAGCTTCTAATTGTGCTGTTCTACAAGCTGGGTGTTTTTTTCAGAGCACTTTTATTAGCAGATGAAAATTTCCCAGAAACTGAAGAAAATGTGGTTGCACACATTCGGAATCTATATAATTAGGTCACTTCTTGGCTTTGGTGGCATTTGGATGCAGACAATTTGCTCAACCAATTTTCTTCTGTGGTGCAGCACCTTCAGGAAAAAGAGCAGCAGAAATGAGAGGCAATGTTTTACCTGTGGAGGCAATCACGGTGTAGTTGCTGCAAACTATATCTTTTTACCATCTGCTGAGCTTTGATCCCTTCAATGATTCTTACAGTACCCAGATACAGAAAAAAATCATGATATGGGAAGTAGAAAGAGGACAATTTTTAGCACATATTCAGGTCATTTCTTAAATGACTTCTGTGTTGATTTTTTGATGTGAATAATTAATTGCACCCCACCTAATGACCCCTAAGCCAGGAGAAGTAATATGCAGCAATTGTGTCATTGCTTTGCTAGAACCCAGATAAAAAATAACTTACAAGGACTTCTGAGATAACCCCATGCATGTTTTGCCTAGGCTTGTGCAATAACCACAAAGTTTTATTCAGATCTTGGCTTTGTGCTTCAGAAAATTGGGTTGCTTCTGCTCAGACTGATATATGACCTCATCACATGGATGACACCCCCCCCCCTCCACCCTGTTTCGCCAACCTCCATAGTGAAATGGCAGGGATGCCATTTAACAGTGATGCACAACACAGGAGCCTTCCCGTGTTAGGCGCGAAGCATCCTACGACATTTCCTCTCCAGTTGGAGGCAGGACTTCAGTTTAAAGGATCTTAATTGCTAATCCCACAACTGGACACCAATATGATAGAATATGATTCTGGCACGGAGCGTTTATATGTGTATGAGGTAACGTGTATGTACTTGAGTAGATTTGCTGCCACCACCAAATTTACTTTAGGAAATTACAGATGATTCCCCTGAGGTAAACTTCTTCCTGCCCACCAGCCCTCCCTTAGCTCCTTAAGATGACTGTGATGTAAAGATGTTAAAACAGATGGAATTATTCCCATAGGAATGAATCACTACTGAGGCTTCTTTAAAGGTTGAACTAGAGAAAATGTTTATTTATAATATTGAACAAACAACTATCTTCTTTAATGAGGCGCACAAGCTTGAATGGTTACTGAGGTACAATAATCTTGATGGTTACTTTACACAAGTTCCTTGACTTAGATATGAGTAAAACTCCTCACTCTACATTAACACAGTAGCAGTGAGTTCCCCAGACTAACCTAACCAGGTTGTCTACAGAGCAATTAGCTACACTCTGAGCAGAGTCCTCTATAAGCTAATCTACTCTAACCCAGAGAGCAAACCACTTGTGTAAAAACCCACACAAGCACCCAGGCAACTACTTTGACCTCCCTGGCCAAATAATGCAGCCTTGCCTGTCACAAATGTTCTCTGACAGAAAAAAATCTAAGCTCTCAAAAATACCTCTCTTCTCCTCTGTTCCCAAAATCAATCCTTCTTCTTCAAACCCAAAAATCAATCTCCCTGCTCTCTCTCAAGCTGACACTTTCCCCTCTCAGGGCTAAACTCCTCCCATCTGTCCTAACCAATCAAAAGAGAGCTTCAGCTCCTCCCCTCTTCTCCTTTTACACTCCCAAGATGTCTGCTTCCCTTTGCTGACACTCCCAAAATGGAGGCCGGCTTACTGATATTCCAGGTTTCTCCTTCGGCCTACGAGGTAAGAATCATTACACCAAGCAACAGGGGTACTGTTCATTTCACTATAGTTTCTTACTTTTTAAAAAACCTGTCTTATTCTTTCCCCTGTTTGAGAAAACACTTGGGATGGTATTACCCATTTTAAACCAAGAAAGGTTTGTAACAGGGAATATATTGCAAAATATGGCACTGGGGCCAGAGAGACCAAACCTTTGGGTCTTTACTTCTTTCTCTTGACTAGCTACCTGTCAAACGCATCGTAATGCAACAATGAATGTGAGCACCCGTCAGTCTCCCTTGCATCACCAAAGTGGCTAGAACTCTTCACACCATTTTCAAAATGAGCCTTTATGTTTAACAGTTCAAGAGCATCAAACAACCTCTGAAAAAGTGAATGGTAAGGAACCTTTCCCATTTTTTGGACAGAAACAGGATGGTACCAGGAGTATGGAGGAGTGAAACCTTGAAAAAGCGGCTGTATCTTTAGTCTGTGAAATCTGTTTGCAGTGTGAAGGATTTTTATAATTGGTCTTCTAGATATTGATAGTATCTCACAAAAATGTATCATGCAACTTGTCAATAAAAAACAAAAAATGAACTGAATACCAGCAGGATGCTAAATTTGTATTTATTATCATGTTTACAGAATTCAAAAACATTTACAAAAAGTTTACTTTGTTTACAGTTCTTTTTACAGGATTAATACCATTTCTTTAATTTTCCGAGATGTAAGGTAGCCTGGTGCTAAGGCTATTATGAAACAAGCCCCCCCCCCCCGCTTTACTTGAGAAACGATGCTACTTGTAGATCTGATATGTAATGATACATAAGCCCACTGATTACAGTTTATCTTGATAATTTACTCTGTTCATATGCATCTGTGCCTCGTTTATTAATGTCTTCAAAATATCATTTCTAAAAATGCATATGAATGTCTTTGACTCAAGGGGGGGAGGCCACTGTAATGGGAGGAATGGGAGGAGGGAATAGAATAATGGGGAACAATTGTTGTAGGCATTGTTGTAGTCAGGGAGTATCTCCATGATGTGTAACATGTACACAACACTAGAAAGAGGTTTTGGGGTTGTTTTTGTTTTGTTTTGTTTTGTTTTTGCACAATGGTTTTCAGCATTCTCCAGCTATCATTTCTACTGGTCATAATAGCTGAGGGATCCCATTACCTATAGTTAAAAAACTTCTCCAAGTTTTGGAATTACATTCAATTCCATTCACTGTGGTTAATAGATGGGCTGTGAAGAAAATATACACAACAAGAGCATCACACACACATATGTTTCTGCACTTCCATCTGTACACTGTCAATTGAGTATATAGGTAGCTAGCACAATTAACAGATTAGTCTGAATTATAAAAAGAGCTGTGAACTATCTTATTTACCTGATAATGCTACACAGGTGATTTCAATAATAATTTAGATGGTGAACTAGTTACAAGGAAGCATTATGTTCTGGTTATAATGGACATAAACAACCTCATGGCTGAAAGGCAAAATAGTTGAGTAGTTAGGATTTTTTTACTACATTCTTGATCATATATGTTGTGACTCTCTTCTTGGGCACAATGGGAGATCATTCGTCTGTAAATGCATACACAATTCATTTAAACGTAGCAGCTCTCATCATGTTTTGTTGTTGGTCAATAAGCCTATTTTAAAAAAGAAAGAAAAAGAACAAATTGAGGATTTCTGCATGAGAGAGAGAGAAAAGACTTCTTGTATAATTCTTATGCACAATCCTTCATCCCTATATGCACAATGATCAAAAACTTTCTGCAGCCCTGGGTCACAGTGTGAGTTTTTAGAGAATGGCAATAATTATATTTCAGGGTTATTTTTTTCAGGGTTATTTTTTTCTAACGAAGGTATTTTATACTGTTTCCTAGTTTACCTGCATCCTAGATAGAATGAACTTGAGATTTTAACAAACCAAATATTGGGGATTGGGGAAGGGCACATTTGACATACATGTCCAAAAAGACAACAATGATGGGCACGTAACTATTTAAAATCTTAGTTTGAATGCCTTTGTATTAATTAATTAGATTATTCATTAGCAAAGTATGTTGAATCAACATGGAACAAAGGGGGCCTATCAGCCTCAATCCACCAACTTCAGTTCCATCACACTCCTTACAAGGAGAGCGTCTCCTATGTGCAGGTACTTTTTATATGATTAGTGACTCTCTGTCGCTCTGTCTCTCTGTCAATCTGTCTTTCATTTCCTGATCTGTGAATAGTAACATAAGAACAAGATGTGGGACTCTCTCTCTGCCCTATCTTGATTCATATTCAAATGACATGGAAGAGAACTGGAGGATAAAGTTATTTGTTTTTGGACAAATATCAGAATTACAAAATGTGTTGTCATGTGCTTTTAAGCTATTTATGTCTCTGGTGATGATATCAATGTTTTACCTTGATATTTTCCCATAGATTTGATATTGCCTTTCCCTTAGGTCAGAATTCCTCAAACTGTGCTCTTCCAAATGCTTTGGGCTTCAGCTCCCACAATTCCTAACAGCTGGCAAACTGGCTGGGAATTTTGGGAGCTAAAGTCCAAAACATCTGGAGGTGCACAGTTTGAGAAACACTGCCTTAGGCTAAGACAGCATAACATGCCCAAGGTTATCCAATGGGTTTCTATGGCTGAACAGATATTCAAACTCTTGAATCCCAGAGTCCTGGTCTAATGCTCAAACCACTGTACTCTGCCAGCTTTGTTTATGAAATGCATGCTAAGACAGAAAGAAGTTTGTATTTTAAAATATGAAAGCAGATAAGGGAAAAGTACAGAATTTGCCATCCCTAGTGGATGAAGTAATGTACAAGGTAAAAGATAACTATTACTTTCCTTCCATCACTGTTTGAAATAAATATTAAAAACTGATTACAGAACATCAAGCAGTTTTCTGATACTGATGTCACTTGAATATTTAGTCTTAAACCCAAATGTTACTCCTAGTGAGAGTAGATCAATTGAATCAACTGAACACACATAAAGGTTGACTTACCAAGTTCTAAACTGACCCAGTAGATCTACTTAAATTTAGATTACATTGGATCTAGACCTTAATATTCTAGATGTTAACAACAGATTGCATCCCTACTGCCCCCTGAGAATCGTAGTTCATAACTGTTTCTCCTCCAACTGTACCAATTGACAATAACATTTCATTCAGTATCAACTAACCTAACATTTCTTAAAAAATAATTTTAATTTTCAAACCACAAACTACGGATGATTTCCACCTTAATCCACAGAATATTTATCATAATAACCCAGTTCACTACCCAGAGGTAGGAAGGGTAATTTTGCAAGGCCATGTTGATTTAGTCCTTCTATTCTTTAAATGTAAAGACACAATTATGCATATAATGCCTCATTTAACTTGGATCTAAATTCTGTTGAGCTATGCAATAACGAACACTTACTTATCTCAATGGTGCTACATCATCAGAACCGTCTATTGTGAAAGGGAAGTGGAGATAAAAGAGAAGAGCAAATTGTAACTTTTGAAAATATGAGAAAACAGAAATAAAATCTAATTTTATTAAATGTTACTTGAAGAATGAGAGATTATGAGAGGAAAAAAGAAAGATCAAAAGTAGATGCAAAAATATTTTAGACTAGGGATGGAAAAGATCTTTGTCAGATTGGTAAACTTGACAAAATCGCCGTTTTTGTTCCCTCTGAGACTTACTACATCTATAAATGTACTTTTCTTTGCAAATTTGCAGATTTGAGAAGATTAAAGTGAATTTTGAAGGAATTAAGTGTTTGCAAAATAATGTACACTTTATAAAAATAAATGGCTAGAATATGAACTATAGAAAAATGTACATAAAATTAGTCAAATGATAAACATTTTGTGTAGTAAGTAAAACAGTCAAGTAAATTCATGGAAATGTATTAAAATGTGCATGAACTGCCATGCAAATCATGTCATCCAATCTGAAAAAAAGGTAAGGAAATTAAGGCAGGATTCTGAGTAAGGCAACAAAACCAAAACAAAGGAATTTTCACATCTCTAGTCTAGACTTCTAAAAGGACAGGTTAATATTTCCAGAAATATACCATCATCAGAATAGCTTCAAAAAATGAGAACTCCAAATCAAACAGACAATATTGAAGAAATGGTATGCGTTAAGGCATTATATTATGAACACAGTCAGATATAGGTTTAAGTCAAACATTATTCTGGCAGTGTTAAACCACGGCTAGATGCCATGCCATGTCAATAGTGATATTAAAGAAAGACCAGTGGTGTGACTGTTCATTTCCTTCCCATGTCCCTGTTCCCTTGCCCAGGACTATAAACCCCCAGAATTCAGGTCATTTCTGGGACAAGAGAACATGCACTTTCAGTAAAAATATTCAAGTGCAGAACTGCTGGAACTGTTGCTTCGTTTCTACTGCAGTAACTGGATCACTTCCTAAGTATGGGAGTAAAGAAACCTGGACCATTCATAAATGCCATTGATTTTGTTGCTGTTTGTTAACACAATTCAATGTTTCATGCACAGTGTTATCTTTAATAACAAAGAAATAAAAATGTATTAAAATATATGACTTAGATGCTGGCTTAAAAGATGAAGTAGTTGGTTAGAAGCTACTTCCCTTATCCTTCAAAATCTGAGGTGAGGCAACGAATAACCAGTGCAAGCATGGAAGTCAACAAAACAAGACACTACATCATTTTCCAATAATCGTTAGCAGCTCAACCACTATAATGATTCTATTCTGATGGCTCATCTTAGTTGATGATTTTTCACAATGTATTTCATGGCTTCCATCCCTACATGAGACTTTATTACTATCACATAGGAATAAAAAGCCATAAAACACTAGAGTGAATTTATCTTGATCAGATGCAATACTGATTTTCTTCACATGATTTCACAACCATTTCAAAACTAACTGAGAATTTCATGCTACATTACTCAACATTTTAAAGCTACATTTCGATGATTAAAAACACACCACAATAGTTACATCACAAATTAGCAGCAATTTAGGTTTCAGAGAGGTTGCTAGCTAGACAGATTGGGGACAGGCACGACACACAACCATGGAATTCACCAAATAGACAGGACGCCACAGAAAATAGCACTGAAACAGACATCTTTGGACACATACGAAAGACAAGAGAACTAAGACAATTGCCTTGGAAACTTCTAAAACTCTGTTCACTCTTTCCCACTGAAGCAGGGGTTACTAGAAACATGGATTTGCTGGGGAGGGGAATCAGACAAGTTAAGACAACAGCACTGTAGACAGACTACAGCATCTCAGATTATTACAGAGATGCTCCTATGAGAATGAAAGCACAATGGTGCAAAAATCAAAGGTCAGAAACATTCTACAGGGCAAACCTCACTCTGCATCTTAAAGGATCTCAGTCTATGATGACTCCACTATCTCCTCTACAATCCTATTAGACAATAAAGAAAGTATACAGTAATTTTCACAATCCATAGGTCCTGAAACTAATACCCTAATTTAGATCTGAAATTAGGATTCTTGATGCTGCTAATTGGTCAGGCTGGAATACATGTCTCTTGGGTCATGGAGACAGTCAATAAAATAACTTAAATTCAAAGCTTTCGGAAGCAATAGGCAAATACGACAAGGCTAAAAATCAACACTTTAACTAAGATAACTAATGTGAACCTTAGCAAAATAACCCTGATGTTAGTATTGATTTTAATTTTCAGTTAACGTTTGTTGCTGAATGTCTATTCCATTGTATTTTTCTGTTACTATTCTCTGACTGCCTATCAGATCCTGATTCTTATCTTGCACAATATGGTTAGGATAAGTGAGAGCAGGAAACTGATAAATGAAAAGAAGAACATAAATAAATTAAATGATCATGCATAAAACATGCAAATGATATACAGACTGCATATGAAACTCTTATTTATATATTTATTAATCTCAAATTGCACTTTTGTGGGGCAAATAAATACTCAACTGGGTCCAGATTAATGCACTCCCAAACCTTCCAGTGTGTATTTAGGTAAAGGTATGTTTTAAGTGATAAGTAGAAAATGTATACAGCTGTTTAATTCTCCCTTTATAAGCTCTCATTTATCAGGAGCAATGATGATAAATATAGAGCTTAATTAGGATACACATTTTGTCTGATCTCAGTTACTTGATCTAAATGCACCCACAATCCTAACTAGAGTAGACAAATAATGAGTTACTTGAATCAGCAATTGATTCAATGGGTCTAAAACCCAGTTATAGTAGTTGGGCTACTAACTGGATTTAGGTAGGTCTCTACTTTACATAGACAACAAAACACATTCAATTCTGTACCTTTTTGGAATGAATACTAAGCAAATAACCTTAGAAATAGCTATCTCAAAATGACCAATGCATATTGAATATATGCAGCCTTAAGTGATCTTTTTTTTCCATGTAGCTGTCCTGATCCTGCAAAGAAGACCAGGATGCAGAAATATGTTCATTCCAGGAGGACCAGTCTACACAAGTAAATTGTGGATTACAACATCCATTTGTAAGGCACAGAACTGAATGAACATGCCATGTTATATCTAAAGATGCTGTTTTATCCAATTAGTCCATGTATCTCCAAGAAGTTCACTAGTTGTGACACATGGCTGGTTTTGTGAGACTACAGCTAGTTAAGCTGCAGTTTTTAAATCGTTGTCTTCCATCTTATCTACACAAACATTGTGAAATTAGCAGAAAGTGGACTTGATCCGCTAAAATTTATTAATGTCTACATCCACTTATTTCAACAGGGGAGACTTAAGTGTACCTAAGTAAAATCTTTCTATGGGGATCAGCAGGGTGTAAAGTACCCTTTTGGCCCACTTATATCCAATGTTCCTAATTCAGCTTGGATTTCAGAGAGTTGTGGGTCAGTCTTCTTTCCCCTGAAATAATCAAATACAGCATTGGCATAGTGACATCCCACTGCTGAGATATGTGGGAATCTTAACATAATGAAATTTGGTTTTATTTCAGGAAGAGAGGAAGGAGGGGAGTATATTCCTTTCCTATTGTGCTTTTGCTCAGCCAAGTAAAATCCACGCCTTAAAAACTGGCCTTTGGCCAGCTTGATCTTTTCATTCTTGGGGTCTTCTTGAGAATTATAGCCTTGGTTTCTGGGTTTCCTTCAGTGTCTTTGCTCTGCATGGTTGTCTTTATTTGTGGAAAAAAAGAAATTGTTTGTCTCAGCTGCACTCCCTTGTTGGCTGACAGCCTGAATTCAAAAGGAGAAAGCAAAGAGCTAGGACATTCAGCAGGGAGAAAACACTGAATCCAATTTTTTGTATTATTCTTTTTCCTTTTTTAGCAATGAGGCTGCAGAACTGACAAAAAGAAAAAAGAATAGCATTGAAAGGAGGATGTGTTACAATTTCAGAAGACCTGTTTTGATTGTGTGTTTGCTTATGTGGCAGAACAAAGGGAAATGGTGGTCCCTCTCCTCCTGAAATTCTCAGGCTTAATTCACAACTGAAACTACATTTTTTTCTGAATGGGCCAAACAGTGGTGCTTAATGCATTGCCATGTATGTTATTTTCATTTCCTCAGCATACATGTATTGGAAATTAAAATTTAGTCACAGAAACCAAGTTAAATAAGCTCATATATTTAACTTGTTTTAGGAAGCATTGAAATCCCAATGTGTCTCAAAAAACCTCCCTTAGAAACATGTAAGCTATGAAAGATAAAAATTACCACAGAGAAGCAAGGACGCATACAAAGACACACATATATTTACATAGATGCTTTCAGACACACACATCTATTAAGTCTTCCACCCTGAGAGCCTTTCAGTGACTGTTTGGGCAGATTTGCATATATGAAATTCATTACCATAAAATAACAGCAGTAAAGAAGACATCTGATCTATCAACACACTGACAAATGTTCTGATTGCCATTTTGCCTGGAAATGTGCTTGTTCCCAGGTACATGTAAATTTATGGTTCCAAATACGATCAAACAATCACACATTTATAAAATCCTAAGATAGTCACCTGGAGAAGCCATTTCTTAATTCCCTTAGCAATTGCTGGAATTAAGCACAGTCAGCATGCTATTTTATTTAAATTTTCTGGTGACTCCATGTGGACTATTTCTTTCTCATGATTAAACATGAACCTGACCATTCCTTCAAAGCCTCTTCTTTGGTGTCGCTGGCCATAGACCAGATCTTTTGTCTCAGGGATGTATTGCTGAAAGCTCATTGTCGCACAGAAAGGGGAAAACCTGAAAGTGATAAAGTGAACTTTATAGATATCTATATAAACATATTTTAGACCAATACGTAACAGCTGACAGATGAAATGGACTGTTTACCTCGGGAAGAATGGTCTTTTCTTCTCCAAATCATCACTCAGACCTGAATGTCATCCAAAAGCGATTCTGCCGCCTTCAACTTATCCAGCATCTGGAGCTCGGAGATAACCCTGGTGGCACTGGCCTCCTTTATGGACTCCTTCATTATTAGCCTCCTGGTGGGTGAGATAGAATACAGTGAATGTAATAACCATACTTCACACAACAGGCCCTCTCACGCTTTTAAATTGAAAATCCCCTTATTACAAAACAAGGGGTGTTCTTTTTCTTTCACCTTTAAGTAGGACTGCCACATTCATTGGTTTTTACAAAAAACGCAGCTGCTTTTTAAGCTACAGATAAATAGAATCTGCTAGGCAGTAATTCTCCTCAGACTGAATTGCATTATTTTCTGAGATGGTGAAGCAATCTCATTCTCTCTCTCTCTCTCTCTCTCTCTCCACACACACACACAGAAAAAGACAGAAAGGAAGAAATTTCTCTTCCGATTACTGTTTGGTTCTGTTTTGTGCTATGAATTTACAATGCCACATATATCACCTAGGAGCATTTTTGGCTTTGTTTTTGTTTTCTGGATCAAAAGTTTGAAAAGCAACATTTTTCCAATTCTATGAAAATATAACTGATTGTGAAGATTGCTTTGGCTAAAAATTAATAATGACATTAGAAAATTGTGCTGTAGCTACAAAACTAAATAATGAATATCCTAAGTAGTTTCTGGTAACATTCTCTGGCTAATATAATTAGATCTAAATCCTATTGTGAGTTCCAACTAGAGCAGAACCATTGAAAGAACTGGATATCCCTATGTGTTGACTGATGATTCAACTTTTGATTCAATGGGACCAATCATAGTTGGTTATAACAGTACCATCCTAAAATATTGCTCTAATTGTTATGATTATGCTCAGGGTTTTTTTAAAAATTGATGATTGTCTCTTATCTCTACATCTGTCACTATATTTGTGTAAATACTATTTTATTTTTAAATGATGCACACTATGGAAATGCAGGTACTCAAGTGGTCAACGGGTGTTACCCTGAAGGACAAGATTCCAAACTATACAGTGCACTCCATTTTGAGAGTTACACATTTTCTGATATGGCTTGGACATGTGCAATGAAGTGATGAGGGTTCCATGTCAAAAACAGTGATGAATATGGAAGTTGCAGGTGCCAGGCAACATGACATACCTAAAACGCATTGGGTCAACCATTTGAAATGTGACATTGCTGAAGCAAGACTCACAATCAAAGACATGACCAATAGGAACAAGTAGAGAACAAGAAGCAAGCAAGCGGATGCTGCGAATTCATGGAACAAATGCTAGCAAGAAGAAGAACCCTGTAGCCAAGGGGATGGTTTCAGGGTTCAACCCCCCCCCCCAAATTTTTAGGTTAAAAAAACCCTGGTTTACTCATGAATTTTAACTGGTAAACCAAATTCCTATGCTACATCTATGAAAAAATAGAATCCCTCCAGAATTGCAAGCAATATTTCAACCAAATGTTGATAATGTATTCGCATTATCATTACCTACCTTTATGCCAGCTTACATTCCAATAGCCACAATAGCCAACATAGTGGAAGCAACCAAGTTGGCCCACCTGCAGCAGGCAGGCAAAGCCTCAGAAACTGGGGGGGGGGGGGGGGGGGGGGTTGACCTGGATTGCAGATGGACACTGCGGAAATTGAGGTGTCTACTACTGGTTCATGTAATCCCAAGCCCTGCCAAAAAAAACCCATGAAACAGGAGCAAAGACAAGAAACCGTGTCATTGTTATACCTCTGACTTTATATGAACAAGACTGTTTCTGATGACCAAGTGAAAGCTCAGTTACTGTAAAATCCATGGACTCCATTGCCAAGATATGTATTTCCTGTGGATAAGAGGAGGCATTTAAGTTTGTAAGCCAAATGCTCCAACAGATTTGCCTGGTTAGCCTACTCATTTTATGTACAAGATGCACTCTGTAAGTACTGTGTGGTGTTTGGAGGTGGAGTTGGGGGTAAAGGTTGTCATCAGAAGCTTGGTGAATTGGTTCCTAAATTATTTGTGTGATGGAAAGATGCAAAACAAGTCTCCAAAAAAACAGACTACAATCAGAACAACTTATGCTTGGCTGAAAACCTTTTGCTAATTCATAGTGAAAAATGTCTTGATGTAACCTGTCATCATGATAAAAGAAAGAAGAAGAAGAAAACAGAAAGAAACTTCTGTCAAATGTGGAAACTATTGTCCTTTGTGGCTGAAAAGAACTGGCTTTAAGAAGGAACTATTATTCAGGGCATATTACCTGCGAAGAACCTTTGCACAATGATGGAAATTTCAAGGTCTTGTTGAGATATCGTGCCAGATCAAAAGACACTGACCTGAAAAGTAATCTTGAAACTGAAGCTATGAATTCCCAGTATACTAGTTCTCAAATTCAGAATGAACTAATAGACATTTGTGATGACAATATAGTTCAGAACTTGTTGAAAGATGCAATGCATCACAGCATTTCTCTGTTTTGGCAGATGAAACTTTGGATGTGAGTATATCAGAACAGTCATAGCTCTCTTGATGTTGAAGCTGCAGGAATAAGAGAAGACTTTATAGGCTTTCTGAAGATAAGTGATATGACAGGTGGAGGACTTGCAGGCATTGTTTTGAAGCTACTGGAAGACAATGGGCTGAACATGCAATACTTGTGTGGACACAGGTTATGATGGAGCTGCTAATATGAGTGGTCATATTAGTGATGCACAGGCAATTATATTGTAGAAGTATCCAGTAGCTGTCTACATCCACTGCAGTGCTCACACACTAAGTCTAGCCTTAGCAAAGACTTGCAGTAGTCCCCCTGTCAGAACCTGCCAAGGAACAATATCATCTGTGTGCAATTTCTTCAGAGCATCATTCATCAGACTGGAGCTGTTGAGGAAAACATAAAAAACCTGCTTCCCTGAACCAAGAGCAGACAACCTGTTGCCACTTTGTGAAACCCATTGGGTTGAGCAACATGATGCAGTTTTATGGTTTGTTGAACTATATATAGCGTTGATAGTGGGAACACTTGAAGAACTGAAATGAGAGTATACAACAGTGAGACTTCTTTCCAAGCTGGACAGTACATCTTCTTTCTGCTGTTCTGAATGCTGAATTTATAGTAACCATACACATCCTAAGAAAGCTTCTGTCATCAATCCTTCAGTTTAGCGAAACATTACAAAGAATAGATATGGGCATTTTCTGTAGTCTGCAACATGTTGAGAGTCTCTTAGAAAAAGCCATGGATGTACATAGAATCTGTGAAAGAATTTTAGGAGCTCTTTGACACAGCAAGATCAGTCATGTAGTATATGGGTGGAGAAGTTAGAATTCCTAGCATCTATTCAGGACAAACTTGTAAAAGCACCATCCAAGCAACTTCACCAACACCTATATGTACATCCCATTTCTGGACTTTTTCTGCAGTCAGATTCAAGAAAGATTTACAAGGCACAGAATAGTAGTTCAGGACCTGCAAGTGTTCCTCCCTATTAATGGTAGCCATTTAAAATCTAACTTGATCAAGAGCACAGAACTTTACAACCAATGCCTTCAATGACACACCGATGGAAGAGTTTGACCTGTGGTGTAGAAAACAGGAAAAGATTGCACCTATAGAAAAACCATCAAATGCACTGGAAGCATATCTTGCCTGTGATAGCCTTTTTTCTGAATGTGAAGAAACCTCTTCAGATTTCTGCAACATTGCCAGTGTCAACTGCTACAAATTAAAGGTTGTTTTCAACTCGTAAACTTTTGAAAACATACATAGGGCACACAATGGGGCAAGAAGGACTGACTGGACTTTCTCTCCTAAGTGTCCACTGAAGTTTGGGGCCTGATTTGGAGCCTGATTTCTGTCAAAGTGTATTGACACACTGTATTATCAAAGGCTTTCGTGGTTGGAATCACTGGGTTGTTGTAGGTTTTTCAGGCTATATAGCCATGTTCTTGAGGCATTCTCTTCTGACGTTTCGCCTGCATCTATGGCAAGCATCCTCAGAGGTTGTGAGGTCTGTTAGAGCTAGGAAATTTGGGTTTATATATCTGTGGAATGTCCAGGGTGGGACAAAGGACTCTTGTCTGTTGGAGCTAGGTGTGAATGTTTCAACTGGCCACCTTGATTAGCATTTGATGGCCTGCCAGTTTTTTTGGTGTGACTTGTTAGTGCCTGGGGGAATCTTTTGTTGCATTTCCAATAGATTCAATATTCTTTTGTAACCACTAAATTACCAATTAAGAGTCATTTTCAGATTTATTTTTTTTAGTCTTGAAACTTTAGGGATTCTCAGAATAGTTGTGCAAAAAGTTTTCTAAGTTCTGTTACTGTGTTTTATATTATAATTTCCATTTTTAAAATATAGCATGATGTAAATCTGCTGGAATCACATTTATGAAGGGTTGTAGAAGTGTAATAGCTAAATTCTTCAAGGTTTCATGTAAGTATATTCCTTAGCCCTGGGCTTTTTAATCCAAGATACTGAGGACTGACCCTGGAAATTATACATGCAAATTATATGCTCTATCATCCAGCAATAGGTACGGGGAAAATTCATTCCGTTCATACAGTAATGTGCACCTATCTAATTTTCACTTCTGAAACCAATATGCAGTTGGAAATGCATTGATCCATCATTATTCACACTTCTCTAAAATTTGCAATGCAGTTCTTCCCTCAAAAATATATATACATTGGGGAAAAATATACATTTTAACCCTCCCATAAAGTTCTTACAGTTGTTAATACATGCTCCTAGTTTGTACCTTTATTTGTACATTGAACTAATATACACATTAACTAGTATTTGTGTGTATTTTTTGTCTTGTCACCATTCCATTTTAAAACAGGAATATTATTTTATCCTATTTATTTCTGTATAATATTTTGTAAGCTCTGCAAATGGTCCTATTCTCAAAGTGGGGTGCATTTCTTCTCATAACTCTGAGAAAGCTCTTTGCATCAACACTAGAGAAATGAAAAATTTTCAATGCCAATTTGCCTGTTGCTATTATATACTGGAGATTCTTTTCCTGTGCTAAAATTTCCTCAACTTAAATTAATTTATCCTAATTTAAACACATTTGCTCTAGTTTGCACTACTTTTCCCTATTGACTACAGTGAGTTTTGCATATTCTTTTCAATTATATTCATAGCAACTGTTTGCATTTTAAAATATGCACATTGCCCAGTATATGCTTTCTTTTTTGGGAAGGCCATGCAAGCCTTGCACAGGTATAAACATTCAAAGTCATGTGCAGATTTTCTTTAAATTTCACCCAAAATATCCCAAAATGTTTCTTTCATTATGGGCGACAGGTTAAACAAAATGTATTTCCCTTTATAGTGGGGCTTATTGAATATTACAATATTCTTTTTGATCCCTATTTTATAACTGCTCCTAGATTTATGTTTTGAGACGAACAAGGAGTAAATAAAGCTGCTAAGTAACTTTATGCTTTTTGATGTTGGCTGTGGGTATAATTGTACCAATGTCAATCCTACTGAATCATAAAGTAAGAACACCAGAATACTAATATCATGTCCAATCTAAGGATCAAAACTGACTTAGCCATTCTGCATGCTGTATTTTCCATTCTTCATGTTTGCTTGAATAACTTTTTGCTTTGTGTTGTTTAACTTCTTAAAGGAGGAATATTGGGCCTGAAGCCAGTGTTGAAGTAATATCAAAAAGCTCTTGGTCCTAATCTCAGATGGCGAGTGGTAGCTGCTAAAAGGGAAGCAAAAGACACTCTACACATGGCCATTTTTATATCTCACACACACAGAGAGAATGGGGGAAATGCTAACTAGATCCTGAGTAGTTTGCTTCTTGTTCTGGGTATAATGTACAATCCAATGAGAGGCACAAGATATTACCATGAATCTTATTTATATGATCAGTGTCGTTTAATGAATGTTTACTACAATTGCAGAAGAGAAAAAAAACCCTATTTTTCAAAGAAAGGGGGACAAAATCATAAATTTACAATCATGGTTCACTAAGGAATATAATTGGACTCTTGATTTCCTCTGCATCAAGGCTCATTTTCTCTAACAGTATAACACAGTTTGGATGATAAAGAGATTATCATGAAGGAAGGCAGCATGCAAAAACATGGACCATTTACCTTGTGAATATTGTTTGATGATACTATTTCTGTTTTATAAGAGATCAGGCACCTCAGAGAAGGCAATCATCTTGGAAATGAGCTTATATTCTATTGGAAATCTTATAGCTTGATCTCTTGTTTCAGGCCATGATGTGTTCCACAGTGCATTCAGTGTATCCGCCTCTCTCCAGGGCTAATGTAAATTTATAGTCAATGTGCTGGTGCAACAATAGTAAAGACTAATTTTGTATTGGTGGCCTAATTTTAAAAAAAGAACAGAAATGTGCTATCTTGTTACTTTTGTACAAGCCTAACTAAACAGTGCTATCCTTTCAGAGTTATAAAAACATTTGAAATTATAATATGATCCATTATAATAAGAATGGCTGCAGGTACATGCAAAAAATGAATTAAGATGCATGAAAAATCTATGTGCATGAAAAGTTCAATGAAGCATGCATGAGCTTTGCAATGAAGACACAAATTTGCATCATTGTCTAGTTGTACTAGAGGTGTAAATGTTCGCTTCATTTCTTGCTTTGATGTGAAAATGAAAAAATGCAAATATTTTTGCACATTTTCTACATTTCTGAAGTTTTGTCTGAAAATTGTGTTAAGGCCTCCCCTAAATTTCTCACAAAATAAACATCTTTTTGAACAAAAAAAATCCAGTGAAAAACAGTGCAATCCTTTTAGTTTATTCTCGAGGGTTACACTAGCAGTTGCACTTTCCTTGTGCTCACATAAAGGTCATCAAAGCTTGTCTTTTGTGAGAAAGTGGGTCCCTGAACTCAATCTGAAGGGTTGAGTTGGCCAACTGCCTTTCTCATGGAACAGAACAACTGTACTTCCCTGCTTCGCCCCCCCCCCCCCCCCAAAGCTAGGCATTTGAAGGAAAATGGTTTGGAACCAGCAGCTTCCTTCTTCCATCATACTCTATGTATTTTTGCCCCTGCTGTCATTTTCTTTTTGACACTGCCACCTTAATGGCCATTGTTGGCATAACTATCCAGTAGAGCCTGTCAGATACCTGTCCCCCACTCCCCTTTCACAAAATGGAAGGGAGTAATCAGCCAAGAATAGTCAGCTTCCTTCCTTACAGAAGTCATAGAGGCCTTTAAAAAACCACATATTAAAGGAAAGAATAAAAGCCACAATTGGCTAAAAATAAGAAAATAATATTATTATATCTACATTTTGATTCAGTCAATTAACAGGGTAAAAATCTTTAAATATGAAGATAGACCCTTGCATGTTCTGCAGTCACCTGTCCCTGTCAGTAAGCTGTGTAATTGTAGTATAAGGTGTACCTCAATAAACTGTTGGATCTGCGGCACAAGACAACACATAAAACAAAATTAGAGTGGGCATGCTAAATCATTTGCAGAATGGTAAGTTAATACTTCTACAATCCAGTTGATTCAGTGGGTCTACTCTGAGTAAAGATTCTAGGTAGAATGGGTAAAAAGAAAGGTAACTTTTCAAGTATTTTGTTTGCAGATAAGTCACAGAAAGATTCTTTCCTGAAGTACAAGATTACAATAATTTTGTAATATCTGTATTAAAAAAATAAATGTCATTCTACCCAGTTCATCTTTTCCCCTCAATGCTTATTGGCCATTAATTCTGATAAGTAATTCCCCATATGTTCTTAAATTATCCTTAGAGGTGGGTCTCGCCATGTCATTCTATACTGTTTTAGCACATTTAACATTTTCACACAAAACAGTAGCTTTTTGAAGAACAATGCACATTTTGTATAAAAACATGAAATGTTCACACACAAAAGTTTTCACGTGCAAAAGAAAAAAAAATATGGTGGTTGATTTTTCTTGAATAGGTCATTGATTTGAAGTGTAAGAAAATTTGAGAATATTCTTTACATCCTCACTGAATAGGATTTATTTTCTGCTTGAGATCCTTCAAGTTTTGTATCCACCAGGCGATTCAATACTGAGCTAGGACAGCCAATAGACTCTATATGTCATCTTCACAAGTTTATAAATGTTTGGTGCACAGGTCTTAGTTGACAGATTGGCATGCATGAAACTGATAAAGTTCATGATTTTGCTAATATTCATGTTGAAATATCACAATGACTCAATGCAATGCACTTCCAAATTGTTCCAGTAGTAGGACATGTAGTGATACACTAGCATGGATGGCTCTTTATACCAATAGGCTAAATAGTGCACCCTACATATTACTCCGGAATTTCTTATAACAACTGAAAACCACTGGTCTTGCTAGTTACATATTTATTTGCCTTGCTGTCCTTATTGACTGAACTTCCCTCACAGTGCCACATTCTAAAACCAGCACAATTCCCTTAAAATTTTATTATTTGTTCCTTCATAATAGTGACCAAGTCACATCACCACAAAATCATGGATGTTACCATCTGTTTACTATTGGACATTTTCACAGTTGTTTTCAAATTGTTCAGTTTCAGAGTCGTTAGACTAAAATCATATCTATCCAATAAAAACAAAGAATACATAGGTGTTATATGTTTCTCAATAATGTGTAGTTCTGTTGCACCACCAAATCAAATTAAATATTTATTTCTTTATTTATTATCAAGGACCACCCCATATTAGTGAATGGTATTCAGACCACAAGTTTAGCTTCAATGGCATAATTGACAGAAATTGTATCACACTGAAAATATTCTGAGAAATGATGAAATGAATTTGTAGTTGAAACCTCAGTTGTTAGAAAGAGTCCTACTGATCTGTATTTTTCTCAATGATATCAGTTAGATTTTGAACTGCTTCACTTTGGCAGAATTGTGACCATATTCAGAGCCAATGTGGTGTTATTAACCTAGGGACAACATCCAGGTCAAACACTTGAACTAACAGCTGTGTCCTAAATGAAAAGCAAACAAGATCCACAAGGCTTGCTCTTCTCCCTAACACAAATGAGACTACTTTGCAAGCATATAACAAAACACATTGATGGAGAACAGCTAATTTCAAAGCAAGGAGGTAAATCTTTGACAATTTCATTCATGCTTGTGAGGATGAATAATTTTTTAGTCTTCTCGCTAATGAAGTGCAAAATATGTATGTGTGTGTGTGTGTGGGGGGGGGATGCACAAAAGAAGTATGGAGGGGTTACATTTAAAAACATGATGCATGTTTCTGAATACTCAATTTGATGGTGAGAGTGTGTCTATACAATTTTTGCATAAAATAATATTGATTCTTTTGAGCTCCTATAAATGAATAACTACGGTAGCTATGCATTGACCCCAGACCAACTAACCAACCTTCCCTAAATCCCCACTTATTGGGCAGTGGTCAGTGCAATTGATGGAGATCTGTTCACCTATTAAATAGGAAGCTGCTGACTGATGGTCTCACCCTGCCTATGAGCAATCTCCAGTACAGCAGGCAGAAGCCTGTGGTCATCTCCTCTCATGCCAAAGATATATTGTATGAGAGAGGTAAGAACATCAGTCAGCTGCTTCCTGATCAACATGGGAACAGAACCACGTCAGCTGCACAATTCAAAACAATACTAGAGATAGTTTGCAATTCACTTTCTTTGAAATATAGCACCTGGTATTAATTGATGATTTCTATCAAAGTCCTAAGCAGGATGGACTCTTTGTAGCATCTAAGATCTCACAGGATCTGGTGCCTGATCATAGCTAAGCAGAACATTTACAGGTGACTCAATGTAATAGCTATTCCACATTCACAATAGCTATTTATTAAGGATTGTGGACATTATTGCTATTATTGTAATCCCACCCCAACTACTTTACCAGGTATCTCTTGCATTGGGAGAAGGAGATCAATTCTGTCAGTGATAGGAACACAAACAAATGGTGTTTTCATGAGGCTTGGGATGGATGGGTGTTAGATCAGGGGAGTTACTAGTCATTATTTTAAAATTAAAATGAATAAATAACTATTTTAAATGATTAATGGTAACTATTTTGGGTTCTTGGAACATTAATATAACACATTATTTTCATACTCTGGGATTTAATTGCACAGTTCAATAGGGAGTGTTAAACAAGTTGAACATATGCATCCAATATAACACCAACATTACATATAGAATATGTTTGCTTGGATCTATTCTGCATGGCTTCCTCTTGCTGGAATGCAAGAGTATTTGCTAGGCAGAATATAAAGCAATCTTCTTTCTTTTATAACTGTACTATCATGAGATAAATGTGCCTTTAACTTCAGTTTTCCTTTCTGCTTCTTGAAGCTGAAAAATAATAGGCTATGGAATAGATCTTTGTTTTTGAATCTTTCTCAGGTGATTCACTTACTGGGCCATTGCATCTACCACATTTGAAATCTCACAATAATACCGAAAGGAAATCTATTTATCATGAATAACTGCTCCCACCTTCCCATTCCTTAATATTCTGCAGAGTGCAATGGCAAAGCTACACTTAAGTTTTATAAAATGAAAGCTGGTGAAGCATAAATCATACAGAATGGTAAACATTGCAATACAAGATAGATATGAAATCCAAAAACTAATTAAGTTCAACAAGCATCTCTCAATAGAAAACATACCAGTTTAGCTTCCCATGTTAGTTATCACTTTTATTTCTTTTATGGAGAATGCAACAAATGGGCCTTTCATGGCTGCAGATTTCATAATGTGATTCACCAGCAAAACCTGAGGGAGAAGGAGGAGAAAAATACATGCAAAAGATTAGATGGATGGATTACAGCATTCCAAGTGTGCCAAGGCCAAGATAAAAGGAATAGATAACTTACAACTTCTGATGAGCTGAATTTAAAGCCAGCTACCAAAAAGGATTGAACCTTATTACTGTTCTTCACTACGAAATTCCCCAGACAGTTGAATGTAATTTTAAAAGGTCAGGGGAAGACGCCTTCCCATCATTATGATTGTGTGGTTTAAGGGTATACATTTTGTGAGGGTAATCATTTTTATTGACTTGCTGTTGAAAAACAGACAGGCAGGCAAAAGGCAGGGCAGGTAAATGAGTTGTCATATATGCTATTTTCTCAAGTTTCCAATAGTATCCTGCCATTTTTTTGAGAATATTAAAAGCTTGCTCACTTGCTTTATGATATTGCAGATCACAGGAATACATGAGTGTAACACATAATGTGATAATAGAATGGATAAGCATACACATTTGTATACATCTGAAGACAGTAATCATTGTACAGTATTAGAAAATTAAACAAACAATGTTGATATTAACCTAAAATGCTATAAAATTATTATTAATTGACATAAGCTCATTACTGTTCCTGTAAAATCAAAGTATTAGTTCTGAAAACAACGAAGTTCATTTGATGCAGTTACTTCAGTTTTCAAAAATAATAATTTATGTTCTGATTCAACATAATAAAATTGCTGGTAATCAACATGTTAGCACCTACTTCATGATGTTCATGCAATTTACATCAAGAAAAATGTAGAATACAGACACTGGCAATGCAGGTGAAGATTAATTAATATAAGATTTTTCACTTGCCTTGCAGCCATAACACAAAATCAGTATTCTCTCTTAGTTGCTCTGAGACATTTTTAATGGATTTAAAACTACGGTTCTGTGATTTCATATGCTGCATTATGTTTATGGAACCTCCTTGAAAGCTCACTAAATAGTTTCCACTTGAATAGCATAAGAGATTTCCATACCTTTTCACAATTTTTCCCCTAGGGCCAACACATTCAAACACCAAACAAGAATTTGGAATGAAGACACTGTACACATTGAAGCCCGCAGCTCCAAAACCTGGATAGAATTCACTGTCTCAGTGACATGAAAGCCACAAACTACTACTGGAAATGCCTCGCTATTGCTGACTACAGGCTGGAAAAAAGAAATACCTCTAAGAGTAGCCAGTTTTTCCCGGAGACCCTTTAGTACCAAAAGGATTGACAAAATATGTGCAAGAGTGCCTACTCCCATAACAAAAATAAGGTGAACTTTAAGATTGTTTGTGATTATGCTTTTTAGTGCACAACTCTTCTTTAAAGAAAAGGCTGTGTCCATTTTAATATCCCGTTTGATGACTAGCCATGGATTTTGTGTGTGTGTGTGCCAGGAGCAACTTGAGAAACTGAAAGTTGCTTCTGGTGTGAGAGAATTGGCCGTCTGCAAGGACATAGTCCAGGAGATGCCCAGATGTTTTGACATCTTGCCATCCTTGTGGGAAGCTTATCTCGTGCCCCTGCATGGAGAGCTGGAGCTGACATAGGGAGATCATCTGCGCTCTCCCTGGATTTGAACCTGTGACCTGTCAGTCCTCAGTCCTGCCGGCACAAGGGTTTAACCCACTGCACCACCGGAGGTTTCACAGCCATGGAATAAGGAGACTAGATACAGAAAGGTGAGCCTAATAAGACCTACTTTATTTGATTTTTTTTTTAAAAAAAAGTTGTTGAACCTAAAAGGAGGAAGAAGTAGAAACAACCTGAAGTGGCTCCAACAGAGGCCAGGGGTCTACCCTAGACTACCTACTCAGCCTTTCCTTGGGCAAAACACCTAGGCTGTGAAGACAATCTAATAGTAGGGTTGCTCCTACCATTCCTCGGATTCAAATCTGCTACCTTTTGGTCAGCAAGTTCAGCAACTCAGCACTTTAACCCACTGTGCCACTGGGGGCTCCTTCCTTTTACAGTTAATTTTATGCAGGCATAATTCCTGGTATCTTCAATGATTTGTTATTTGAGTATCTCCCTGGGTAACACCTTTGCTGTGGGCATGGAAAAGAAAACAGATTTCATCCTCTTGACTGGCCATAGAGGTGATTACCCATAGAGGTGTATAGGGATAGTTCCATTCCAACTATCCTTATACACTTGAGGACAAAGAAGCAGCATCTGCTCTTATCCACAGGAAAACATCTGCTTCTTCCACTCTTCACAGGTACACAAAGACATGCCCAGATGGTTCTGGAAACACTGCTATGTTAAGCCAATTGCCAGGAGATGCACATGTGCCCAGGAGCTTCCGGGTACCCTTGCAGACTTGGAGATGAGAAGAAATCCTCCCTCTCTAGATCATTGGCATAGCTATGCTAGCAGAGATGAATGGTTTCAGGGTGTTTAGGAAAGGAAGGCTACCTCCCCCATCCCAGGCACTAGTTCATACAATTCAAATGTCTATTTACTGGAGCAAGTCACTGTTTTCTAGTACATCTCTCCCTTTTGTCCCTATTTGAGCTGTTGGGAACACACTAGAATTCAGCTCTTCAGATTTCAGCTCTTCAGAATCTTTGAGAGTATCTGCTGATGGGGGTGGGGGTGGGGGTGGATAACAAGAACTGTGTATATGTTTGTATATGTGTGTATACATGTGGTTTTGTGCAGGCAGTGTAATGTATTTTTTTTTTTTGCTTTTAAAGTCTCCTCCACTGTGTTTTGTTTTAGTATTTTTATTTTTGGCCTGATAGATGCATTGTGTCCAAATTTGGCTGTCAATTTGCCCAGTGGTTTTTGAGTTATGTTAATCCAACAAACAAACATTATATTTTTATTTATAAAGATCAGTGTGGGACATATTACTACAGAGTAAGAAGGGGGAAGAATATGTAATTATAGGTGGATGAGGATAGGTCAGGCAGGAAAATCAGTGCAATGTTAAATATATCCTGCAACATTAGGTTCTAAATGTTAGTGCATATACTAGCTTTTAATAGCCTTAGGATTTACATGAAGCTTTCATTACAGCCAATTACATTATAGCCAGTTGTTGCCTATAGCTTTTCCAAAAATCTCCAGACTACTTTGTAGTACAGATCAGGTTATTTGTTTGTTTGAAAGGCACTGGTTTTGAACCATAACTACTTTGCAGGGCTTAACTATATTGACTGATTTCTTATTTGATTCAACAACTTCTGTCAGGGGTTATGAATAGCCTCTAAATAGAATAAGGAATAGCTTAATGTTTCACTAAAATCAAACCAAATGTAATATGAAAAAGAGGCTTTCAATAATAAGCATTATATTGCTAGGAATATGTCCAATCTCAATCTCTATATATAAAAATGCTCTGTGCATAATGAGTACCTTAAAAACAAAAAGGAAGGAAAAGGGGGGAAGGGGGGCACACTTCGTGCACACACCCTGACTCTCTGCCCCCCCCCCCACACACACACACTCCCACAGCACAAGGGAAGGAGGAAGGTGCCATGATGGGGGTAATAGGGACACACGAAACTGACATTGCTTGGAAAGGAGCCCCAAAGACCATCCAGCCCAACCTCATTTGGCAGTAAAGGAAGACACCATCAAAGCCCTCACAACAGATGGCCAACCAGTTGGAAGAGTTAGGGTACCTTCCTTTTTCTCCTCCCCTTACCAGCTTCATCCTCCTTTATGAAATCTACAGTGTAGATGCACCCAAAGTCACCCCTTCCACACTTCCATATAAAATCCAGATTATCTACTTAGGACTGGATTACATGGCAGTGTACACACACACACACACACACATGGATGCATGTTGGATCACTGGTTGGTATGTGTGTGTGTGTATAATTACAATACTTTATATATTACTATTATATATATTGCTATATAATACATATATATTATATATATTATTGTTATATATACTACTATATAATATAATGTTAGAATAAAGTTAGAAGGGACTCTACCATGGTATTGGGGGAGAACAGACAGGAAGGAAGGAGAGAAGAAAGGAGGGAGGGAAAGAAGGAAGGAGGGAAGGAAAGAGGGGAGGAAGGAGAGAAGGAAGGGGAAAAAAGGTACCGAAGGAAGGAAGAAGAGAAAGTAGAAAGGAAAGAAAAGGGGAGGGAAATTCAGGAATGAGCTAAAGAAAGAAGGAAGGAGAAAAGGAAATAAAAAGTGAAAAGAAGGAAGGAAACAGGGAGGGAAGAAAGGAGACAAAGGAAGAAGTAGAGAAAGTGGAAGGAAGGAAGGAAGGAAGGAAGGAAAGAGAGAGAGAAGGAAGGATGAAACTAAAGAGTGAAAGAAGGAATGAAAGAAAGAGGCAGAGAAGGAAGAAAGGAAAGAAAGGGGAAGAAAAAGGGGGGAAGGAATAGGCAGGTACCTCTCATAATAGTCCAGATATCTACCTCTACTTCAAAAATTCTTACTATAGGCCACAGCAACGCGTGGCAGAGCACAGCTAGTTATCTATAAAAATACTAATTAAAATATTCACAGGCTTATTTTGTAGCATTGCTTTTGAATTAAATCCTTTAAAAGAAAACCAAAGGATTTCTGGGGGAAATGTATGATTCACTAACAAACTGTAATATTTATGTATTAGCATCAATTAACTCACTAAAAATGAGAAACATTTGAATTGTGATAATAAAAATAGAAAAGCTGTATGAATTTATTGTATATATACAAATATTTTATCCAATCAATCATGTGAACATTGATTCACCTACAGGTATAATATCATTAGAATAAGCTTTCAAAAGCTAAGTTTGGAAGCAATAGAATTAAATCATATATACTGCAGCAGAATCTCATTAATATTTATTTTAAAAGAGAAAAAGAGTGTAAAGAATTATTTGCCTGTCACCAGTTATAATAGGTATGTTACTATTTTATTTGAAAGCTCAGCACTCACAATTCTATATGAGAATTTACACTTTAGGTAAAACAATTATTTTTTTATAAGAGGGGAGGCAACATTTCAACATTTTTCT